CTGGCGGTGCACGATGATGCTTTCGTCCGCCATGGCCGGCACGTACGCCCCCCCTGCCGTGCAGCTGCCCAGCACCACCGCTATCTGCGGGATGCCGTCCCGCGACATGCGCGCCTGGTGGGGGTGGGAGAAGGAGAGAGCGAGAGAGAATGGCAAGTGGGTGAATGAAGAAACGGTCGCATTCAGTCAGGAGCATGCAGCACGCATGATATGATACCAGCCCTGCCACGCGTGATATGATACCAGCCCTGCCACGCGTGATATGATACCAGCCCTGCCACGCATGATATGATACCAGCCCTGCCACGCATGATATGATACCAGCCCTGCCACGCATGATATGATACCAGCCCTGCCACGCATGATATGATACCAGCCCTGCCACGCATGATATGATACCAGCCCTGCCACGCGATATGTTCTGCCTGAGAGCTGGATGAAGGCGTAAGGGGTGGTGGTGAAGGCGGCGGGGAAGTGACATGTGGAGTAGAGGTGAGAGGGCAGTGGGCGCAGGGCGGACCTGGTTGTAGAAGATGCGGCCGAAGTGGTCGCGGTCGGGAAACACGTCCGCCTGGCGGGGCAGGTTGGCGCCTCCACTGAGACGAGGGATTGAAGGGGCGAGCGGGAGAGGGTTGTATATGGAGAGAGAGAACACGTTGTATATGGAGAGAGAGAACACGTTGTATATGGAGAGAGAGAACACGTTGTATATGGAGAGAGAGAACACGTTGTATATGGAGAGAGAGAACACGTTGTATATGGAGAGAGAGAAAACGTTGTATATGGAGAGAGAGAACACGTTGTATATGGAGAGAGAGAACACGTTGTATATGGAGAAAGAGAACACGTTGTATATGGAGAGAGAGACCACGTTGTATATGGAGAGAGAGAACACGTTGTATATGGAGAGAGAGAACACGTTGTATATGGAGAGAGAGAAAACGTTGTATATGGAGAGAGAGAACACGTTGTATATGGAGAGAGAGAACACGTTGTATATGGAGAAAGAGAACACGTTGTATATGGAGAGAGAGACCACGTTGTATATGGAGAGAGAGAACACGTTGTATATGGAGAGAGAGAACACGTTGTATATGGAGAGAGAGAACACGTTGTATATGGAGAGAGAGAACACGTTGAACTTATGGCATGAAAGCAGGAATCAGCACTTGAGAATGGATCAGGCAGGCTGTACCTGTCAACGAGATAGATCCAGGGCAGGCTTACCTGTCAACGAGGTAAATGCAGGGTAGGCGGCACTGGGCGGCGATCTCCTGCGCCCTGAGGTGCTTCTTCACCGTGATGGGGTAGTACGTGCCGCCCTTCACTGTAGGATCGTTCGCCACTATCACACTCACCCGCCCGCCCACCCGCCCTATGCCCGTCACAATGCCCCCCCCCGGCACCTCCTCCTCATAGACCCCCATGCCCGCCAGCTGGGGGGGGGAGAGGCAGGGAGGGGAGGGGAGGGGAGGGGAAGGGGAGAGAGGGAGTGTTTTGAGTCGACTCAGAGTCCACCTCTCCTCGCACGCGCCCGTGCCCGCCAGCTGAGCGTGAGAGGCATGGGAGTGACTTAGACTGGAGAAAAGAGATGAGCAGGCAGGGGAATGAGGGCAGGGGGTACTCAGTGAGGGGAGGGGGCGAGCGACAGGGGAGGGAGGGGAGGGGGCGGTGACCTGTGAGAGTTCGAGGAAGGGCGAGGCGGGGTCGAGCAGGCGGTCGATGCGCTCTCGGGGCAGCAGCTTGCCTCTGCTGTGGTGCCGCTGCACCGCCTTGGGCCCCCCGCCCTGCAGCACCTGGTGAGGCGGACGGGTGCGGCGGCATGGGTGGGATGCGATGGGATGACATGGGATGCCATGCGATGACATGGGATGCCATGGGATGCCATGGGATGCCATGGGATGACATGGGATGACATGGGATGACATGGGATGACATGGGATGCCATGGGATGCCACAGGATGCCATGGGATGACATGGGATGACATGGGATGACATGGGATGACATGGGATGACATGGGATGACATGGGATGCCATGGGATGCCACGGGATGCCATGGGATGACAGGGGATGACATGGGATGCCATGGGATGACATGGGATGCCATGGGATGACATGGGATGACATGGGATGAAATGGGATGACATGGGATGACATGGGATAACATGGGATGACATGGGATGACATGGGATGCCATGGGATGCCATGGGATGCCATGGGATGACATGGGATGACATGGAATGACATGGGATGAAATGGGATGACATGGGATGACATGGGATAACATGGGATGACATGGCTTGACATGGGATGACATGGGATGACATGGGATGCCATGGGATGCCATGGGATGACATGGGATGCCATGGGATGATATGGGATGACATGGGATGCCATGGGATGCCATGGGATGCCATGGGATGCCATGGGATGCCATGGGATGCCATGGGATGACATGGGATGCCATGGGATGCCATGGGATGACATGGGATGCCATGGGATGCCATGGGATGCCATGGGATGACATGGGATGACATGGGATGCCATGGGATGCCATGGGATGCAGGGGCTCTCTGACTCGATTCTAAGCCAGGAGCACCCTCCCCTGCTTCCCTCCCTCGCCTCACCTCCCCCCAGCTGGCCCGCCTCGCCAAGCCTCCCTCACTTGACCCTCGCAATCATCTGTGTGCGACCTTACAGTAAGTGTCGCCCGACTCCTGTGCGACCTACGGTAGGTGTCGCCTGACTCGTGTGCGACCTACAGAGTCCGTCGCCCGTCGCAGCTCGCCCAGCAGTCGCTCCATCGCCTGCTCGCGCAAGCGGAACGCAGCTCCGCCCACGTCCGCGTCGCCGCCACTCGTGGCCACGCGGGGAACGACGGAGAACGACCGGCGGCCGGCGGGGATGGCGAGGCTAGCGGGGCTAGCAGGGCTGGCGGGGCTGGCTGGGCTGGCGGGGCTGGCGGTGTTTGACGGCACGGCGGAAACGGCGGCGGCTGAAGTTGGCGCGGCGGATGGACAGATGGCGGAAGCTGATTGGGTGGAAAGGGAGAAAAACGGACTGCCGGCAGGGATGGGCGAAAGCTCGGCGTCAGCCGACACGGCGGCGGTCGCATGGCGGTGGCGCGCCAGCAAGCAGCTTCGGCTCGCAACGGCTCCTCGCCGTGCGGCGCGCACGCACACAGCCATCGCTCCGGCTGGTGGCGGCTCTTCCTGGCGTCCCTGGTGGCGGCGGCTGCTGCTGGCGGCTGGTTGCTGCTGGCCTACGCGTGGAGTGCTGGCTACGGCGGTGGTAGAATTCCGCTGGGGGGCTAGTAGAGTGAGGGTTCAGTCTGGCACTAATGGCAGCTTCAGAGGAGGGGAGGGGAGCGAGCAACGGGAGGGCTGCTGGATGTAGGACGACGGCAGCAGATACTCCTGCTCGCAGTCTGACGGTCGCAGAGTGAGCAGAACGACGGTTGCATTGTCCGCGATTTCTGCCCACGCTACAGAGTGCCGCGGTAAAAGATGTGTTCGGAAACTGGAAGGTGTTCGTCTTTGACAAGCACGTCGATGTGACGTGGCATCGACGTGGAATGACATGTTCAGGCGAATCGCCACGGTTGCGATTGTCAACCCCTCTCCTCTTCCCCTCCAATCAAAATAAACTGCTGCGGCAAATACAAGTGTAGCCATTCACCATATGCTTATCGTCTGTAATCATCCAAATTGGAGGTACACATTTTGCAATAACCCACCCACAACGTCCCCTAACAAAACCTCCTTTTGGCGGGCACTGTGTATATAGACAGAAACGTCATCAAATGAAGAATGGGGCACTAAGAAAAACAATCTACAATGACTAGAAATAACCAGACCAACGTTAATATGCTGGAGAACAGGTTCATGGCAACAATCCTACACTTGCTCTAATAAAAGAACTCTATTCGCACCTACCGTGCCTTTATGAAGTGCTTTTGTACAAAGGCTACTCACGCTGTGACTCATGCCTCTTGCCTTGTGGTAGCCCGGGCCGCTAGCGCCAGACCTTGACGACCCCGTCCCTGCTGGCAGACAGCAGCAAGCGCTGCCCCGGGTCGGCCACAGCCAGCGCCAGCACGGCATCGCAGTGGCACCCCCCCGCGTCCACCGCTGCCACCTCCACCATGCTGCGCCGCCCCCCTCCCCCTCCCCCTCCGCTGCCCCTGTCCACCTGCCCCTGACTGCCTGCTACTGCCCGCCCGACTCCGTGCTGGCCCGCTGCTGCACTGGTGGCGCGAAGACGAGACGTTTCGAGGGAGAAGGGGGGCGGGGTTTCCTGCGGTGGGGGCGAGGCAGAGCGACAGGGATGGGCATGGGACAGGTGAAGTGGGGTGGATATGCCGATCACACTGAGAGAGTGGGACTGTCGGCAGCCACTGCCTGGCAATTCGCCGGGAGAAGAAAGCCTGTCCATGCACGCACGCACCTGTATGACTCTCGTGCCCTGCACGATGCGCATGTCGTATCGCGGATGCAGGATCTCTCCCCGCGCACCCTTGGCTGTGGGCCCACACACCCACCCACTCTGCTCTGGCCTGAAAGCAACGGAGAGGAGGAATGCGAGGAGATTCGTTAAGTGCAGTCGGGTCAATACATGAGCACACAAGATGGACGGGCAGGGGGATGCACGAAGGAGAGTCAGGTGATGCTGTGGCAGTGCCTCCATAGACCTGCCCTGAGCCGCGCCATGAGCAGGGCCCCTCACCTGAGGCGGCACCAGTAGCGGATGCAGCAGTCTGTGCCGCCACTCAGCACAGCACCGCCCCCCGGCACCGCCAGCAGCGCCCGCACCCCCCCTGCCCGGATGGGAGGCTCCTTCAGCTGCTCCACCCGCAGGGCTGACTGCGTTGACTGCATTGACCGCGTTGACTGGGATGACTGCGGCAGTCGCCCGGGAGGCATGCAGGGCGAGGAGGAGAGGGTGCGGCCGGTGGTGGTGGTGGTGGAGATGGAGAAGGGCGGCAGGGGCAGCAGGTGAGGGGCGGATTGCAGGGCGGAGGGGAGGTTGGAGGGCGACGGGAGAGAGGGGGAGGAGGCGGCGGGGTTGGCAGAGGGCTGGGGCGCCACAGAGAAGACCTGCAGGGAGGGGGGGAGGGGAGGGAGGAAGAGGGAGTGGGGGGGCTCTAGTAAGTACAACTGAGTACCTGAATCTGGAACTCACCACACGGGAATGCGACGTTGAGGTAGTCTAATTTAAATACACAGCCGAATGAACCCTTTTCGGTAACATCTTACAACTTAAAGAAACGGAATTCAATGGCAGGAACGGAACGTAATGTACTGTATAAGTTTTGGCACTGTACCTGGTGGCACTGCCCCGTGTCGGCGCTCCACAGGCTGACCTCGTCTCTGCCACTCGCCACATACACCAGAGGCAGCGACGTACTCCCCACCAACCCCTCCGCAGCTGCACCCCCCCCTGCTGCCCCCACTGCCCCTCCCTGCCGCCCCTCACCTCCCCCCGTCCCCCCCCTCCCTGGGTCCGCCCCAAACCACCCTGGCAGGTGCTCCGGCCCGCCTGCTGCTGTGGCTGCCGTGGCGTCCATCGAAGGGGGGAAGGGCGCGGGCAGCATGGGGGCGAGGGCGGTAATGGGGGGCAGGTGAGGGGAGGAGGGGGCGGAGGGGAGGAGCCAGGAGGAGAGGGGGAGCAGGAAGCGCACGTCCCACAGGCAGAGGGCGGAGCGGGATGAGGCGGCCAGCAGCCAGAGCCCGTGCAGCGGGTCGGAGAGCACGTGGGCAGGTGCCCCCAGGGAGGCGTGCAGGTGCAGCGAGAAGGCGGGGCGCGTGGCACGCATGTCCCAGAGGGTGATGCCGCCGTGGAGGGACGAGAAGAGGAGCAGCGAGTGCGAGGAGGAGAGGGGGTTGGAGGTGAAGAGCGAGGAGGAGGAGGCGGAAAGGGAGCAGGGTTGGGAGGCGCCGAGGTGGGAGCCCGCCCAGGATTGGACAGAGAGGATAGACCCACGCCTGCCAGTGGGGCCACAGTGACCCGGACAGAGGCCTGAGGAGGGCTCCACGGACGGCACTCTGGTGACGCCCTTGTAGGCCTCATGTGTGCCGAGGAAGCGAGGCACATAGTCCACATGCACGACGTGTACCTCCCCGCTCGAATACCCAACCACTGCTGTCGCACTGTCCCCCATCACAGCCACCGATGTCGCCCGCCCTGCCCCCCCTCCTGCTCCCCCTCCGCCTCCAGCTCCCCCTGCCCCACCCCCTCCACCTCCCCCTCCCCCTCCCCCGGGCGCGTACGTGAGTTTCGAGCGGAAGGTGGTACCCCGGTCCACGCGCGTGCCGTCCCACACCTTAACCGCGCCGTCGTCCGATGCCGACGCGAACCAGTGGCTGTTGGGCGCCACAGCGAGCGCGTTGACCGCCGCTGTGTGCTCCTGCAGCTGCGCTACCAGCACTCCGCGCGGCCGCCACAGAGCAGCCTGCGAGACAGACGACGGCGAGGGGGCGCAGGGCAGCATGGCTGGGCCGTCGTCCGCACTGCCCCACCCCAGCAGCCGCTGCACCTCCTCGCTCACTGCTGCAGGCGCTGCCGCCCTGCCCCCTGCCTCCGCGTCTGCTGCTGGCTGTGCTGCTGGCAGCTGTGCACGCCCAGTGGGCCCCAGGTTTGCCCCACGTGGTTCCGTGAGATGAGCAGAAGCAGTGGTGGCAGGCGGCATGGCAGGGTGATGAGCTGCGGTGCGAGCAGGCACCCATGGCTGGGCTGCCTGGGCTGGCTGTGCAGCAAGCGCAGGCACGTCAACTTGAGCTCCACCATCTGCTGCCGTCTGCCTCTCCAACACCGCCTTCTGCGCCTCTCTCCCTCCCCCTGCTGCTCCTCTCTCAAGCCCGCCACTGCTCTCTTCCTCCCCTGTCGACCCCTCGACACCGCCTCCCCGCCGAACCTCTGCTGCAGGCATGCCAGCAGGCATGGCAGCAGGCAGGGTTTGAGGAGCAGGGTGGGTGAACGAGGGGAAGCGGCGGGAGGAGCGGAGGGAGTGGGACAGGGAGGAGATGCGAGTGTGGGGCTGAGTGGTGCCCAGGAAGACAAGCGAGTGGGCCACAGGCACAGGGGGGTGGGCGGCAGGAGGTGGACCGAGCACCGTGTGGGGAAGAAGCGAGGAACCAGTAGGGAGGGCGTGAGAGGAGGGAGGCGCGGATAGAGTGGGAGTGTGTGCGGTGGTGGTGGGTGCAGAGGTGGTGAGTGCAGTGGTGGTGGGTGCAGTGGGTGTGGCAGGGGTAACAGGGGTAATGGGTGAAGGGAGGGACGGATGGGCGGCAGAGGGGGCAGTATGGTGAGGGGAAGCGGTAGGAGAGGGAGAGGGGAGGTCGTCCAGAGAATCGAAGGCGAAGGGAAGATCGGAGGGAGATGAGAGGTTGGTGGAAGGTGGTTGGAGCGCTGCAGCAGATGCACCATTGGACTGCTTGCATGCTTCCGCATTGGACTCGCGGTGTGCGCTGAGCTGAGCGTTGGCTTGACTGAGTGATGCAGGCTCAACTGGTGGGGATGCAGTCTTAGAGGCAGAGTCAGGCGTGCCAGCAGCAGCAGCAGTTGCTGCAGCCGCAACCGCAGCAGCTGGAACAGCAGCAGCTTGTGCACCTGACGCCGCACCTAGATTGGCTCTCCCTGAACCAGCAGCAGAGGCTGCAGGGGCCGCAGCTGCTCCAGTGGCAGCAAGAGGGGCAGCTGCAGCAAGAGGGGCAGCTGCAGCAAGAGGGGCAGCTGCAGCAAGAGGGGCAGCTGCAGCAAGAGGGGCAGTGGGCGAGGCAGAGCGTGAGAGGGTTGAGGGGAGGGGAGGCAGAGAGGGGGGCGAGAGGGAGGCGGAGGGCAGCGCAGAGGTGGAGGCAGAGGCGGGCAGCGAGGGGGAGGCGTGCGCGAGGGAGTAGAGCGGCACGGCGAGGGACGGCAGGTCCAGCGCCAGGTGGGTGTCCGGGCTGGCAGGGGGGGGAGAGAAGGACGCAGAGGGCGAGTGGGGGGAGGGGGAGAGGAGGGCGAGGGGAGCGACGGGGCAGAGGGACCAAGGGGCGCATGTAAGGGGGGAAGGGAGTGGGGGGAGAGGGGATGGGCGGGAAAGGGGCGGAGAGTGGCGGAGGAGGTGAGGGTGGAGGGCGGGAGGGTGGTTGGGGGGGGAGGGGGGCGGTGGAGGGAGAGGGAGAGGGAGAGGGAGAGAGGAGAGGACGCGGGGCGAGGAGAAGGGAATCGAAGAGGTTGGAGTGGAGAGATGGAGGGGTGGAGGGGAGGGAGGGGGGGACGAGAAGAGAGTGGGATGCGGCGGGCCATGGGGCAGGTGGGGCGCCATGGAGGGGTGTGGCGGGCCAGGGAGTGCTGGGTGGGAGCGAGGGCCATGGCTGGCCCATGTCGCGCCGCATGCTGGCATATGCAGCAGCCATGGCCGTGTATGGCGCTGCTGGACCCGCGCCCACTGGGCCTGTGCCTACAGGACGTGCACCGTGTGGCGCTGACAGGGAGTGCGAGAAAGAGTGTGCATGTATTGACGATGCAATTTCTGCAGGCGACTGCAGCTGGCCCTGCTGTTGTGATGATGCTGCTGGCTCGCTCCCTCCCTGCCCTGTACTTGTCACATCTGCCACACCCGCCTCCACCGCACTCTGTCCTTGCGTCGCCCCAACTCCTTCCTCCCTGCCTCGGATCCCTCTACTACACACACCACCATCTCCCACCGCTGCTGCAACCTGCCCACTCTCCCCCGCGACACCACCACGGGCACCATCAGCAGCACCGGTGCTGGCAGCAACAACAGGTTCCCTATAATGACCCACGGCAGCAGCAGCAGAAGCAGCAGCACCTGTGGCAAATACTGCAGAGTGCATGTGGGGCATGAGGGGGTCAGATGCTGCTTGCGACGCGCTGGCCTGCCTGGCGGCTGGTGGTGGTTGAGTCGAAAAGGATGGCTGGTTTGGGAAGGCCGGATGGGTTGAGAGCGGTGGTTTGAGGGCAGCAGCAAGGGAGGCATGGGAGGTGACGAGCGCGGGGCGGTAGCGCAGGGAGGGGGAGAGCAGCGGCAGCAGCAGCGCATGGGCGTCAGCAGGCTTCAACTCCCCGGCAGCGGCAGCAGCAAACGCCACAGCAGCGTCCCGCACATCCTTCCCCGGGTGGCGCAGCAGCGGCGCCACGTGCCTCACAGCAGACAGCAGCGACCGCCGCTGCTGCAGGTGGTGGGAGCGGGCGAGTAGAGCAAGGCAGGCGGCAGCAGCGGCAGGCACAGAGGAATCGGAGGGGTCCCCCAGGGCCTGCTCGAGGCAAGGCAGGAGGAAGGCAGGCAGGGCGGAGGGGGAGACGTGCGGGCAGAGGGCGGGGAGGGAGTGGAAGAAGGCGGTGCGCACGCGGGGGGAGGGGTCGTTGAGGAACGTGATGAGCAGCGGGAGCAGAGCGCTGGTGGCCAGAGGCACGCCCAGGAAGACAGCGAGGGCGGGCGCGTGGTGCAGGAGGGTGAGGCGGATGGGCGGCGTGCTGCGGGGGAGCGTGGCGAGCTCCTCCACTGCTATGCGCACCGCCTCTCGCAGCTCTGCCAGCTCGGGCGCATGCTGCGAGGGGAGGCACTCCGCTGCTGCTGCCAGGGCTTTGAGGGTGGCGAGAGTGGCGCCACTGCTGGCCCAGTGGGACGGGGGGAGACTGGAGGCCGGCACAGGCAACGCCGGCACGTTGCTGGTGCCGTTCTTGCCTGTGCTGTCGTTGTTGCCCTCGCAGCCACTCCAACCCTCCCTCGCAGCAGCGCTAGCCTCGCTGTCACTGCCGCTCACCCCCTCTTCATTCGCCGCCTCCCTCCCTCCACTCGCCCGCCTGTCCCCCGCGGCCAGCAGCAGGAAGCGCAGCGCCGACGCAGCGAGGGCGGGCAGGCACAGGGCGAGCGCCGCGCGCACGCTCTCATCGGGCGCGCGGGGGAGCAGCGAGATCGAGGGCAGCAGGTACTCGGGGAAGAAGCGCGCATCAGTGGAGGGGAAGGAGCGCACGCGCGCCAACAGCCCTGTGAGCACGTGCAGCGCGGTGCAGCGCACCACAGGCGGGTTGGCCAGCGCGCCCACCAGCCCATCCAGCGAGTGCAGCGGGGAGGCTGATGTGAGCCCGTCTTGAGCGAGCACAGCCACCACGAAGGGCGCGATGGCTTGCAGGCAGACCGCATCGGAGCACTGGTGCGCGGCGGACTGCAGGAGCAGCAGGCAGTGGCGGCGCGAGTGCGGCAGGCGGGCGTTGCGCAGGCATGCGGTGAGCAGCCCCACCAGCAGCACCATGGCGCTGCCGCTGTTGCCCACCGCCCCACTCATGCTGTCGCTACCCCCCCATGTGGCCGTGCTGGCTCTTTGCGATGGCACCGCGCTTTCTCTTGCTCCGGTGCCAGCAGCAGCTACAGTGCCGCCTGTGGCATCATCATGCCCAGTGCTGCCGCCCTGCTCACTCCTATCACTCTCCCTGCCACTGCTCTCTACTTGCACAACAAGACCCCCTTCCTCACTCCCCCGCTCTAGTGCTCTCTCCTCCGCTCCCCTTCCCTCTGCTATTTCCTCCTGATCACTCCCCGGCTCCCCATCATCTTCTTCCCCACTCTCCCCCCTCTCCACTTCCCCAGCCCTGCCCTCCCCGCCCTCCCCGCCCTCCCCCTCCCCTTCCCCCTCCCCTTGGCCGTGCAGCGAGGCAGCGATGACGCGAGATAGGCGCGGGTAGAGCTGGCGGGTGAAGGCTATCTGGGGGAGGGGGCGGGGAAAGAGACCACAAGGAGACGCGGGTAAAGTTAAAAATATACGTCGGGTGCGAGAGAAGTCGTGCTTTGTAACCCATGCTCCCCAGCCACCCATGCTCCCCAGCCAGCCATGCCCCCCAGCCAGCCATGCCCCCCAGCCAGCCATGCCCCCCAGCCAGCCATGCCCCCCAGCCAGCCATGCCCCCCAGCCAGCCATGCCCCCCAGCCAGCCATGCCCCCCAGCCAGCCATGCCCCCCAGCCAGCCATGCCCCCCAGCCAGCCATGCCCCCAGCCAGCCATGCCCCCCAGCCAGCCATGCCCCCCAGCCAGCCATGCCCCCCAGCCAGCCATGCCCCCCAGCCAGCCATGCCCCCCAACCAGCCACGACCCTCACGACCTCCTCCCATCACCCCCTCACACTACCCCATCACATCGCCCTTTCTTTTCCCACCACCCCCTCCTCCCACACCCCCCTCACACTACCCCTCACACTACCCCCTCACACTACCCCCTCACACTACCCCCTCACACTACCCCCTCACACTACCCCATCACACTACCCCATCACACTACCCCATCACACTACCCCCTCACACTACCCCATCGCACTACCCCATCGCCCTTTCTTTTCATTCCGTCACCACCACCACACCATCACCACATCTCACCCGCCCATCGGCATCCAGGGCGGGCAGGCAGCAGAAGAGGTCATCGCGGACCACGCCCAAGGTGGGCTGCGGGAGGAGAGCACTGTCCCGCGTGCGGCACTGATAACCCACCATCACCACCCCCCATCACAGCACCGCCACATCACAGCATACGCACCCGCCCGTCGGCATCCAGGGAGGGCAGGCGGCAGAAGAGCTCATCGTGGAGCGTGTCAAACGCGGGCTGCGGGAAGAGCGCCCCTCCGCCACCGAGGGGGTCGCTGAAGGCCGACAGGTACGCCGCAGCCGGCAGGCGGTGCGAGGGATCCCTCTGCACCATGTGCGCCACCAGCGCTCGCACCGAGGGGCATGGGATCTGCATTCGGGGGGGGGGAGAGAAAAGCGACAAGATGGTACAGTGGGCCATGGGTGGCAGGCCGGTGGTGCAAGGGGTCCCTCTGCACCATGGGCGCCCCCGGGGCCCGCACTGAGGGGCACTTGATCTGACAAGGGGGGGAGGGGTGTTGGTGCGTGCAGCACGCAAAGGGGTTTGGGCAAGAGAAGGGTTGCATGGCTTGGCGGAGACGAAGGTACAATGGCCCAAACTCGCTAGCAGGTGGCACGACTGGTCAACAATAGGGTGGGTCATACCCGATCAACAAGGGGTGGGTCATACCTGGTCAACAAGAGGGTGGGTCATACCCGGTCAACAATAGGGTGGGTCATACCGGGTCAACAATAGGGTGGGTCATACCCCGTCAACAATAGGGTGGGTCATACCTGGTCAACAAGAGGGTGAGTCACACCGGGTCAACAATAGGGTGGGTCATACCTGGTCAACAAGAGGGTGAGTCACACCGGGTCAACAATAGGGTGGGTCATACCCGGTCAACAATAGGGCGGGTCATACCCGGTCAACATTGGGGTGGGTCATACCTGGTCAACAAGAGGGTGGGTCATACCGGTCAACAATATGGTGGGTCATACCCGGTCAACAAGGGGGTGGGTCATACCTGGTCAACAAGAGCGTGGGTCATACCCGGTCAACAATAGGGTGGGTCATACCGGGTCAACAATAGGGTGGGTCATACCCGGTCAACAATAGGGTGGGTCATACCCGGTCAACATTGGGTGGGTCATACCCGATCAACAAGGGCGTGGGTCATACCCGGTCAACGAGAGGGTGGGTCATACCTGGTCAACAATAGGGTGGGTCATACCGGGTCAACAATAGGGTGGGTCATACCTGGTCAACAGCAGGGTGGGTCATACCCGATCAACAAGGGGGTGGGTCATACCCGGTCAACAAGAGGGTGGGTCATACCTGGTCAACGAGAGGGTGGTTCATACCCAGTCAACAATAGGGTGGGTCATACCTGGTCAACAAGAGGGTGGGTCATACCCGGTCAACAATAGGGTGGGTCATACCCGGTCAACAACGGGGTGGGTCATACCCGATCAACAAGGGGGTGGGTCATACCCGTCAACGAGAGGGTGGGTCATACCCGGTCAACAATAGGGTGGGTCATACCGGGTCAACAATAGGGTCGGTCATACCCGGTCAACAGCAGGGTGGGTCATACCCGATCAACAAGGGGGTGGGTCATACCTGGTCAACAAGAGGGTGGGTCATACCCGGTCAACGAGAGGGTGGTTCATACCCAGTCAACAAGAGAGTGGGTCGTACCCGGTCAATGCGCGATTGAGGGTTGTAAGCGCCGTGGACGTATGCGAGCAGCGAGGAGAGGTCGAAGAGCACCTCGCCGTCCAGAAACATCTCCGCTATCACACACCTGGGGGGGGGGAAGGACGGGAGGGAGGGCGGGGGAGGGAATGGGGTCAAAGAGCACCTCGCCTTTCAGAAACCATCTCCAACATCACACAGCTGGGGGAGGGGTGCGCATGGCAAGCTTTACAATTGAGTTGGAGTTGACACATAAAGGATGAAGCATGCAAAGAGACCATGAGAGGAGTACAATGAGGTGCGCAACTTTCCGGGAGGAAAAATGAGGAAAATCAATCTCGTTAGAAGGTGGAACTCTTGGAGATAAATGAGGATGGGATGGGATGCACCCAACACATGCAAAACCGGTAAAGCGGTAAAGAGGTAAACCAGTACACCAGAAGCAGAATAAGCGCAACACCTTTGCGGCCAGGTGTAGCAGCACCCTCGTCGGCCCGTCTCATTGTGAACTTCCCCTCACTCACCCCGCGGAAAACACATCCATGGCTGGCTGCAACTGTGCACCCGAACCCCCTCCTTCGCTCTGACTCTGCCTCCACTCGCTTGCTGTCACAAACCGCTGCCATGCCATCATGCCATCATGCCACCATGCCATCATGCCACCATGCCACCATGCCATCATGCCACCATGCCATCATGCCACCATGCCATCATGCCACCATGCCATCATGCCATCATGCCACCATGCCATCATGCCACCATGCCATCATGCCATCATGCCACCATGCCATCATGCCACCATGCCATCATGCCATCATGCCACCATGCCATCATGCCATGCCATGCATCTCGACATGTCCCAGTATCATGCATTCACGTACCCCAGCAGTAAGCATGCCCGAACACACCCACGGCACATGCATGCAGCACCAGGCCTCACAGGTGAGTACGAGCATGTGGACCCAACGACACATGGGGCCAAGTGGATCCAATGGCAAGGAGGAAGTGGCAAGCATGGTGGGCGTGTGGGAGCACCTCCGGGGCGATGCAGCAGCGGCGGCGGCCGCCGGGGCCGGTGTCAAAGAAGAAGGAGAAGATGGCGGGTTGTCGGCTGGCACGAGCACAGGCTTGAAGGGCGCCCAGTCCACCAGATACACCCAGTGCCATGCCGTCACACACACGTTGTCACTCTTCAGGTCGCCTGGTGAGCATGGGAGTGCACAAGGGATGTGAGCACAAGGGATGCGAGCACAAGGGATGCCTGGTGAGAGGAGTTGCCTGCAGGCACGAGCACGGGCTTGAAGGGCGCCCAGTCCACCAGGTACACCCAGTGCCACGCCGTCACACACACGTTGCCAATCTTGAGGTCGCCTGGCCGGCAGGGGAGCACAACGGGGCGTGAGATGGCGGGGTTGTTTGGCGGCGGGGATGGGCGCACACATGGGCTTTGAAGGGCGGGCAGTCCAGCAGAGCAGATGCAGCGGCAGTGGCATGCGGCGACGCACAGCTTGTCGCTCTTGAGGTCGCCGGGTGGTGGGGATGCAAGAAAAATGGGGGATTTGTTTGAATGCTAAAAAATCACCAACAACAGTGGGGTGGGGGGTGAAGGGCGCATGGGAAGGGTGTGAGGCGTGAAAATCTGGGAAGGGACAGCATTGCGGGGATGGACTTGAGCGCCACGCAAGCAGGCAGCTCCTAGCACGGCCACTCGCAGGATAGCCCGAGAAGAAGCCGGAATTGAGCAAGCAACTGCACACGGCGTGATGTGAGTGACAAGGGGTGGCGCGCGTGAGGAGGGAGGTGAGGTGGCACGTAGCATGTACCACAGAAGGTGCCTCTCGCACGCAGATGGCGGGACGGCATGAGAAGCCTGCCACCCGTGTGAACGGAGGTGACAGGTGGCGTTAACGGATAGGGGGAGGTGAAGAAGGAATCAGGCAACAACAAGAAGGGGTAAGGAAC